TATAGTAAAAGTAAAATAAATAATGAAATTTAACTTATAATAAACTTTAATATAAAATTTAAGTTCTAATCTCATCTCTCCCAATATCATACCACATTATACGGTACAAAAATGTATATATATTATGTTTGTACCGGATACTATTAGCAATAATTTTTTATAATATACATAATTTTACTGGGTATTATCAGTACTATCGTTAATCAAGTAAAAGTTCTCAATAATATTAATTTTATGATGGTAAAATAAATTGAAAATTGAATGTACAAACAATATATATGTACTTAATTAATACGGAGTAAGTTAGTGTAGCATTCTTTTTGAAACATAGTGTAGCATTCTTAATTAGAAGTAATATTTGATTTAAATATGTTAAAATTTTATGGAACACTGCACGTCTATGATGTAACGAACACATACGTATATGTCGAGTATAATCATAACATAATTTAGGGTTACGTTGTTAGATTCGGGAGTCAAAATCATGTTTAAGTAAAGTGTAATTATAAAGTTAAAGTAATAATACATACGTTTAGTTAAAGTTAAAATGGGTGATAAATGTCAACATGAACATATGCTAACTTTTAATTTTGTTTGCGACAAAACTTAATAATAATGCTTTCTCTCTCATAGCATAATAAGTCATACATATATACTTCGCTTTTTCTATACCTTTTTTTTTTTAAAATAAAAAATAAAAAAAATTTATCAGTCATCTCAACATTTTGATACTAACCGAGCCAATTCAAAATAATGTTGTATGGCATGTATGTAAGTATATGTGTATGTATAGGTACGTAAATGAGAAGATGAGAAGTTGCGTTTGGAAGGTAGCATGCGGTAAATGATGATGATAAATAAGGGGGTGATATGATGCGATGGGGGAGCAGGTGAAGAAGATCATCAGATCAGAGCCGCCGTGAATAGGTTGCGCGCGCACGAGGGGTGGTGGTGGGTACGCCACGAACCACCGTCAGCCCCCACCACCCCAACCGCCATCACTCCGCCTCCTAATAACCTTAGCCTTTTCCCTACAGATATATATTTTTTTAATTTTACACATTTTGTTCTTTATTTTTTGTCTATTTCTATTCCAATATTATATTCCTGTTTGCTCATCTTCGCTGGTCTGCACTTCAATTTTTTATATGTATCAGCAACAGTTTTTTAAAATGATAAGAGAAACTCGCAATCACTGTATAAGCGTATGCAATATAATGGATAAATCCTGGGTGTTGATAATAATTAATGGGAAAAGGATCAAATAGGTCCTCAAACTATTGCTCAAAAGTCAATTAGCCCCTCCAACTTTTTAAAGGTGCGATTACACTCATAAATAATGTATTTTGATGCAATGAAGTCCAAATATAGGTAAATGACCTGCTATCATAGGTCATTGCATCAAAATGCATTGTTCATGGGTCTTATTTAAAAAGTTGGAGGAGCTAATTGACTTTTGAGCAATAGTTTGATGGCCTATTTGACCATTTTCACATAATTAATTAAGCTTGTGAATCGTGATTTTATGGTATAAGAGTTATACTCCATCAATTCAATTCAATAACTGGTTATCCACTTGACTCTGTTGACCTCCTATATGGGAAAAACAGTACTCGACCATAAGGTTATTGGACCAAAAATTATTTGATTATTAATTAAACTTCTTTTAATTAATTAAAACCAACTAATTCATAGGTAATAAAAAAAAAACAAATACTTAAAAAAATTATCGTAACATAAAAATTGAGATAAATTTCGGGGGAACCAAAAAGTAAAATTGTAATTGAAGTAGAAGAAAACGAAGCAGAACTTTTATGACAGGGAAATGATAGAGATTGTGAGGTGTTAAAAGAAAGAAGGAATATAATTAAAAGAAGCCAGGAGGAAATGGCCTGGGCATGGTGGATGATATTTAGTATGTCTGAATAAGTATAAACAGGCTTCATCATAGTTTCTGATCTATATATCTGAGTGTGCAGCAAGTCAGCAGTGGTGTAATATAATGGGTGATGAGAATTGAAATGAAGGTGGTCAGCTTAATGGCCTGCCCACAAGATTCTCTCGTGCATTATCGAATCTTCTCTCTTTTCATACCTGTCTCCTATCTCACCCATGTATATATCTGTATGTCTCTGCATGTGTGTGTGTATATATTTTGTTATATATATATATGCTGCAAAAATCAACAGTTTTTATTCTTGAGTTATAAATAAGATAGTAGGAATACTTTTTTTGGGTGACTATTGAAACTACTCACAGTTATTATTTAAAAGTATATATTGAATAAACATTACTCATGCGTAATAGTCCGCAATTTATATATGTGACTATGTGAGGTAAATCATACTAGGACTGAAGGCCCTTATCCTTAAATTATACTATATTATTATATCATTACATATCATTTTTTGTATTTTAATTGTATGTGAACATACTAGATGTAGAGCATATAACCATTAATGTGTAATCCAACTATAAACTTAGACTTTTGGTTGAGATGGAGAACATGCTTCAATTTGGTATCAGAACCAGACCAAAGGTCATGAAATCACCCGATAAGTGATTACGGTCCACGTGTTGCTTGAAACTCACGCTGAGGGGCGTGTTGAAAGCTTAGGCTTGTATGAGTTAGTTTGGTTTTCCTTAAAGGGTTTCTTCTCTTTTTTCAAAAAAAAAAAAGAAAAAAAAAGAGAGAATATTTTGGTTCTTTATTAATTATTGGATTTTTTAAACTCACCATAATAAAATTTATCAGGGATTAAAAAAATACTTTGTAATAGTTGATGGATGAAAAATAATTTTTACAAACAACTGAAGAACGAAAAGTGATAATAGAATAATTGAAGGACGAAGAGTATTATTTTCTTATAATTCACGCACAAAAATTGTCATTTGTGGTTGTATGTATATGCTCTTGATACTGTATATAACTGCACATGCTCTTGATACTGTATGTAACTGTGTATATACATATTTATGACCCTAAAAGAGGATGAAAGTTGCGCAGGTGATAATCATGCCAAACCCTTCTCTCTTACTTACAACCTGGCTTGGTCCGGCTGGTCTCCGACCGGTTCATGCATGCCGACCGGATCACTTCTGTTCATCATATTCAGCTTTGTCCTTCATCCACCTAATCTAATTTCTCCATCTGCACCTATGTACTGTAACTCACAGTTACACTATATAAATAGGGGCAAGATTTAGTGCACCTTCGTACCACTATGTATACACAAATGTATTACTACGTGTTTAGAAATACATCAGAATGTGAGGTATTTTTAAATACATGGTGATGCATTTGGGCCTACATAGTGGTGCAAAGCTGCACGGAAATAAAAAAACAGTCCGTATGGGTAGTTCAGTTGATCACATAGGTAAAATTTGAGAATAATGATTTGGAATCAAATCTCGTTACTGGTGACACTGTGCATGAGAGC